CCCCCCCCCCTCCTTCTCCTTCCTCCCCCAACCCTCTGCACCCACCCCTTCGACCTCTGAGGTCGTATAAGTGCTTTACACTCATGTGTACGGTTTTCGTCGCGACGATATTCACGCCTGTTTGCACGCGTCGTCCCCCTACCTTTGTACAATTATTGTGATTGTAAGGGGCAGCTGTTTATGCGAATAGTTGACACAAATTGCATGATAAAAGGCCAATAGAGATTCTTTAAAGCCCAAGATACCATGAAACACGAATGTTTATAAGGAATAAAAACTAAATCCAAAACTGGCTCAAAAAAACCAAGCATATCACGTTTTTTCGATATGAAGGAGGAGTGCCGTACGTACAGTGGCGAAGGGGGCCGTACAGCACGGAGGTACATGTGACTTGATGCAACTTGGTGGTGAATCCTGTGGTATAAACACAACTCAGGCGCAACTAGATTCCGCGCGCCTTAACTACGAGACGACTTGGCATAAAGTTGTAGCGTTGCTTAATGTATGCACCGGGGTGTTGTTGAGGTTGTTGACCGTTGTTGACCCGCGCGGACAAAGCGGGTTTGTTGGATTCCCCTTTCCGTCGCGATATGTATCGCAGAATAAAGAGTGTGGTAGCAGATTCCTGGGAGAACCGCTCGCACGTGTGTGCGAGAAAGAGAGGGGTGGGGAGCGGTGGAAGAGAAAGCGAGACAGACATACCCCGGCGGACAGAGATGGAGAGGGGGTTAAGTGTGACTAAAGATCTGTCGGCACCGCTCGCGAATGTTCTGCTAATGTTCCGCCAATTTTGTGCAGACGCTTTGCTACGCTCTTCTCTTGCTCACCGCCTCCACGCTCCGCCACGCCCCACCCTCCGATATCCCAACGGCTGCGTAGCGATTAATTATCTCATGGAATCGGATCAGAATGAGCTCCGTTTGAACTCTCGGGGCTTCGAGCAAGGCGCCTACATAATTTCCTCCCTTCGAGGCGTAACGGAACAAACCAGCAGCAGGAATTAAGGCAAGAGAGCGCAGCCCCGGCGCAGCCGCTCTGACTCCCGTTTTTTAGTCGTATCGTAATCATCTCTTCCGATTGTTTCAATTTTGCTCGGCGCCCTTCTCCTTTTTTTCGTGCGGAAGGGCGATGAGTAATTTGGAACAAGCGAGATTTTAATTGTGTCCGCAAATAAATTTGGGATTCGGTGGGGCGGAAGGGTAGGTTTGCTCTTTGCTCGCACACACGCTGGTTCGCTGCGCATACACCGAAAAAATAATAAGACAACAATAAACCGTTACAGTAAAAAAAAAGTAAAAAAAAACAAAAAAAAAACCACAACAAAAAAATCAGATTTTGCTGCGGGGCGCATTTTTGGTGGCCACTTCTTGTTTGCTGGACGCGGACCAAAATAAAGCAATCGCTGATGGGGCGGCCCTCACCTGCGAGTTCACACGCACACACACACAAACACACACGCAAGATGTGCGTGGGCGTGCGGCCTAAAGCCCTCAGGTTCACCCGCGCTCCCCACTCTGGGGAACAAGCCATCAATTTAGCAATGGAAGCCCTCTGCGATATATACTTTTTTTTTTTTTTTTGCCCGCACTCGACCCATGAGATATTTTCAGGTGTGCCGAACGCGAGATCTACGAACTAAACAAGCAGGGTGAAAGAGGGCGGGACCAGGCTAAGGGGAGGAGGAAAGGGAGGGGGGGGGGGTAATCCATTACACCACCTCCCGGGTGAACCCAACTTTCCCATCGTGATCCGTTATACTCCTGACCGAGCTCCTGACAGACAACGTTGCAGAAAATAAAGCCCCCAAAACTGGCAGCGATAATTGCAGCACCCAGAAAAAAAATCGTGCATTCCATCCAAGTACTGTACGATTGTGATCAAAAGCGGTAGTATCATATTATCTTAAGAAAGACAAAGAACTTTCCTTTTCAAAAGGGATCTGTTCACGGAAAAAGAAAGATTCGCTTAGTCAGCTAATTCATTGACTGGTATATGGACAGACAAGCACACACTGTAAAAAGCTTACGAACTAAATACTTTGCAACGTTACGAACAATTTTCGTTCTTTGTATTGCAAAGAAATTGTTCGTATTGCAAAGCGATTGTTTGTAAGGCTAGACAGGGTCTTATGAACAATCGGTTTGCATTACAAACTATTTGTTTGTAAGATTACGAACAATTAGTTCGTAATACAACGCTTCAAAATCCTTCGTAAGCTACGAACGTTTTGGTTTGCATTACGAACCTATAGTTCGTAAGCAATTTACAGTGCATACACTACTGTAACCACTATATTGTCTACTCTAATCAATCATTGGCTGTGCCAGTCAAAAATTAGCGGTAAGAGCTTATCCCTTTCCTACCTCAGTCGAGGTCTACCTTACGGATGCAGGCAAATCATTATTTCATACAATTTATCTTTGACTGGCACAGCCAATGATTGATTAGAGTAGACAATATAGTGGTTACAGAAGTTTATGTGCTTGTCTGTCCATATACCGGTCAATATATTAGCTGACTCAGCGAATCTTTTTTCCGTGTTTAAAGAACAGAACTTGTCTGGGTGGGTCACAATCAACTTGGATTAAAATACAATTTTCTTCTTTCCGTAGTAACATTCATTTATTTTATTTTTTCAATTTTCTCCCTTTATTTATACTTCAGTTTGCCTGCTTTCCGACATAAATACCACAGTGTTTACGTCTATGAGTGCCAAGCCAGACACTGGCACGGGAGGGTTGAAGCGTTCGGTCAGAACAGTCAGAACAGGGAAGGGCAGAGTCAGTGGCAGGGGAGGCGGCATGGAGCCGGGCGCGCAGCGGGTGCGAGGCAGTGGGGCCACCGCACCCGTCCCGGGCCTCCCCAGCCGAGCGGGCGGCCAAGTTCCGGACATATTGCCGCGAGTAATCCTGTCTGCGCTGCCCACCACGCCC